GTCAAAATCCCTTAGCTTCTGTTTATCCTGGAATGTTTTGATTATACCGTCATATTTGATTGATAGCTTTACTGGATAAAGGATTCTTGGTTGGCAATTTTTTTCTTTCAGGGTTTTATATATGTCTCCCCATTGCCTTCTTGCTTGCATGGTTTCTGCTGAGAGAGCCGAGCTTAAGCTTACTTGCTTGCCTTTGTATGTGATTCTTCTGGTTTCCCTGGCTGCTTTTAGAAGTGCCTCCTTATCTTTAATTTTGGATAGCTTGATTATATGTCTCGGTGATTTTCTTTTGGGGTCTATCCTTCCTGTTTATTTTTTCACTTTTCACTTTTCAGGATGTTTGAGAAATTTTCTTCCAGCAGTTCTTTAACTATTTCCTCTGTGGACTTGTGTGATTCTTCTTGTTTTGGAATGCCAATAATTCTTAAGTTATTCATTTTCATGTGGACCAACATGAATCCTAGGCCTTCTTCAGATTTTTAAACATTTTTTTGTGTTTGTTTGCTCTTCTTAGTGGTATTGAGAGATTTGTCTTCCAGTTCACTGGTTCTGCCTTCCATCTCATCTATTCTTCTACTTTGCCCTTTCAGAGTATTGTCTATTTCTGATATTCTGTTATTGTTTGGATCTCTTTCTGTAGGTTTTGAATTGTTTTCAATGCTGTATCTATCTTATTTGATTGTTTCTGTAGTACTTTCTTGACTTATTTTTCTGAACTACATTGTAAAGTGTTTTGAAACCTTTTATAATTTTTCTGAACTCCTCAGACATTTCCAAGGCCTGCCCTCCTTCCAGAATGGAGTCCAGGTCTACCTCTAGGTCATTTGTCTGAGATATTTTATCTTGTTTCTGGACATGTGCTGATATGGTCATTTACTTTAGCTTCTTGGACATGTTTAGTGTTTATCTGTGGCCTTAATACTTCAGTATGTGTTTTGATATTTTTTAAGTTTTCTGATTGCTTCCTGGAAGATGTGATCAAGGTGTGGGCTTCTCTTTTCACTCTAACTCAGAGTAACTTTCACAGGTGTTATTTGTTTCCCTGGTATATGCCAGTTGGTATTGGTCCTTACCTGGGTTTTGGTGTTTTAGAGAGTGTGGTTGTAGCTTGACTATATGGCAACAGTTGCTAACTCTTCTTGGGTAATATAGGTAGAGACAGAGTCCCCCAAAGGTAGAAGGGGAAGCATTAAACAGCAAAACAGCACCAGCAAGGGGGGGGGGAGAAAGAAAAACTAGACTGAATACTGCAGTCTATACACACAGAAAAGGAAGAGGAGGGAGAGAAGGAAAAAAAAAAAAAAATCTGTAGCCTAATATGAGTATGGTTTTAATGTCCTCTTTTCAGCTTCTTGCTTTCAAAGCTGCCCAAGAGATTTCAAGATGCCACTGTTGGTTGTTACGCTATACCTCAGGCTCTAATTTAACTTTTGGGTTTGTTTTGTTTTAAACTCTTTCCCTCTCTACAGACCTGTCCTGCCATTTCCTGTTTTTCAAAAAAACCAAACAAACAAAAAAATGTTCAGTTACTTCTCTTTGGCTGTGTATCTGTGCGCATGTGTGGCAGAAGAACCTACCAGTAGTGAGGTGGGGGGTGTCCACTTGCTCAGGCTCCCCCTCTAGTTACCAGAATGGAGGTGCACAAACAGTGGGGGTGCCAATGACCAGATAACAACAAAAGAAAATCAGAACAAAGCAAAACCGATAAAGTGTATTGTACACCTTTGCTCCATGGTTCCTGCTGCATTTTTCTGTGGTGTTTCTTCTCCCCTGCTTGATCTTGCCATTTGGTCTCGCCCAAGATGTCAGCTCTGAACCTCCGAGTCCGGTAGATTCAAAAGTAGGCAATTTCTTACTTTAGCTTCAAGTTCCAATATCTATAAGCCTTCAAACTTTTAAAATATTCCTAGCTCTGTGGTTCCGAGTTTTGGAGCTCTGCCCTGGATCTACTTTGCCTGGTATTCTGTGGTATGGCTCTGTTGAACTTCTTTTATCCTATTTTCTCATCTTTCATTCTGTTAGGGAATTTTTCTTCTAAAAACTCTTATGTTTTGTTCAGGAAATTTTCTGGTCAGCTTTTATACTTTAGCAATTTTATGTTCAAGAGGAACGTTTCAGTCTCTTCTGACATCCATGTTACGCTCTTCTTTCTTTCCTGTCTTTTTAGTGACCTTTAGCTTTCTTGTATGATGTTTTTGATGTCATCCCACAACCCATCAGGTCTTTAGTCATTAGTGTTAAATGTGTCAAATACGTTCTTGAGATGATCTCTAAATTCAAGTGTGCTATACTCAAGATGGAGTTCTGGCATGGTGCTGTGGGTTGATGCTCTGGTCTACAAAGTCAGTTTGAACTGCAAGGTTGGTGGTTCAAGCTCAGAAGCCGCTCCTTGGAAACTCTATACAGGGATTGCTATGGGTTAGAAATGACTTGACAGTATTAACAATACTCAGGGTTGTACCATGGTGCTTGTGATCTTGTTTTAATTTTCTTTAGCTTCAACTGTAACTTCACATGAGCAATTGATGGTCTCTTCTGCAGTCAACCTCACCTCTTAACATTTTTCTCATGATATTGAGCTTCTCCATTAGATGTAGTTGATTTCATTCCTTTTCCTTAATCTGTTTTAGTCTGGAAGCTCTGCTGAATCCTGTCTACCATGAACAACCCTCTGGTATTTGAAATAGCAGTGTCATAGCGTGTAGTATCATAGCAACACACAGTGGAGTGGTGCAATGCACATATCATTTATTCTTTGTCAAAAAAGGATCATACTGTACATTACTAAACTTAGTATAAAACTAGACATTTTTGCATACATGAGTAATTTTGTAGTATAGCTGTAAGGAAGAGATTTCTGGATCTAGGATCTTTGAGATAAAATGGAACTTTAATAAGGAAAATTGACCTGCCCTTGTTCTATATGGTAGCTTTTTCTAACCAGAGCTTCAAATTACAGATTTGAAGATAACATGAACAATGGTGGGGGGGGGTTGTTTTGTTTTAAGTTTTTATTGTGAATTATGTGATAGTTTACATGGGAGAACATTAGCTTTACAGTCATCCTATCTTACTTCGTTTCATTGCAATGATACAATCCTCTGCATGTATCATCAAACAACCAAAGGGTAGGTACACCCTACAAGCCTGCTGCCTGGCCGTCAAAACACAGCTCCTCTCCTTCTGAGTTTAGAGTCCCCAGCCCCTCCATGTCATTTTCTCTGCCTCCATGTCTGGAGCAATGGTGTTTTAATAAGGAAAATAGGGCACAAATATATTTGTTCTGAAAACCTAAAAAAGTGTTAGAATGCTGGGCAGTGAGGGTTGCTCTGAGTTACAGTCAACTTGATGGCACTTACAACGTCACAGAAGCAGAAGAGCTGATGAGAAAAACCATTACCAGGCTACAAATTCCAACAAAACGCAGAAAAGATGGGTGGACAGGTGGGGGTGTTCGGTTATATGTAAAGGACAATATAATAACAGTAATCTTTTGACATTTGTATACTTTATTGTTTACAGAGATTTTACATGCTTGCTAATTTAAGTTGCAAAAAACCCTGCATAAAAATCTGACCAGCCAAAAATATACCATAGAATTTCTGTGGGTGGACATTCTGTATAAAGAAGCATATAATATGGGAATGGCATTAGTTTCTAAAGCACTGAAAAAGATTCACTGACTAAACCAAAATGTTAAACCTGAGGAAGGTACAAAAGTGGACTATATAGCTTCACCAGCTGAAGTAGATTAGCCAAATACTAATTGTCATCTAAGGAGCTCTGGTAGCATAGTGATTACAAATCGAGGTGCTAATCTCACGGTCAGCAGTTCGAAACTAACCAGGAGAAAGATGAGGCTTTCTGCTCTCGTAAAGATTTACAACCTCAGAAACCCTGTACACAGTCACTATGAGTTACGACACATAACAATTAGCATCTCGAGCCCTGGTCTGATGTTGTAGATAAACAGTGGCCTGCTAACCACAAGGACAGCAGCTCAAAACCCACCAGCCACTCCTTGGAAATCCTATACAAGGTCGGGAGTCAGAACTGATTCTATATGGCACCTAGCAACAGTAGTTAGCATCTACTAAAGAATGTGGAATGGATTAATACTGGGCAAAATGTCAGTATGTAAGAGCCATCAAATAATGCTGATGCCCAACCAAGTTGGGAAACTACTAGAAGAGTCAGAATTCTAGCAAGCAGGTTTTACTCTGGGTCTATAGTAAAGTAGATCTACTAAACACACAAGTCAGTAGACATGGGTCAGAAAAAGACTAACCAATCTAATTGAGTACTGTGATGGATAAGTATGTAAGAGCCAAAGGAAAAGGGAAAACTTCTTGCTTATTGCAAATTGAGTGAAGGTTTACAGAACAGATCAGTTTTACATCCAACAACAGTTTGTTTCTTCTCAGTGATTGTAATTCTTTCATGCATTTAGCAGTTATCCCACTTTCTCCCTGTGGTTCCTGTTTCCAAACCACTCTCCTTCCCAACTGCTATGAACACTGTTTCCCAGATAAATGTTGCCCTTTTGGTCTTGAATCGTTTACCATTCCATGTGTTGTTGTCCCTCCTATATACCTATCCACTATTTGTTTGAAATTGGACCAAGGCAAAGTTCTAGTCCAGACTTGAAGGGTGGCCAAGGGCCATAATCTCGGATTCCTTCAGTCTCGCACTCTATCTGGGACCTTCTAATGTGATCCCTTTTCAGGGCAGTTGGTTCTTTTGGTCTTAGAGTCATAGAGACACTGATGCCCTTGAAACTGAAATGTGTTATGAAGTGGATCAAATGGAATTAAGGAATTGGTACTTAGGCTGTGATGGAAATTGAGATTTTGACTTTCTAACATCTGTAACTAAATTTATTTTTAATGGGATAGGGAAAAATGACAAAAATGATCCCATTTGCAGACTTCCCTTACTGAATGTCTATAAATGCATTATTAGAAGCGGTAACAAACGAACTCTCTTCCATTCGTTTGTAGTGAAAACATTGTTCAATCCAGCTCCTGCCATTGCTGACCTGGATCCCCGGTTCTACACCCTTTCAGATGTGTTCTGCTGCAATGAAACTGAGGTAGGGATGAAAAGTTTTTGGTCCTTCTGCAAGAAGCCAGAACATTTTTATATGAATGGGTAAAGTAAATAGGAGAACTAACCTCGGCATTTTAATCACATTAATGTGAGTTACTGGTCACAATCAATGCAAATTTTTTTCATTTACTGGGGTGTGGAGAAAAGAAAATTAGTAATTCCTAGGGAAAAGGAAAACAAATCTGAGCCACCACATAATCTGACCCTTACCAAAGTTGGGCTAATTTTACTCACATATTAGGGTTGCCAGATTTAGCAAATAAACATACAGGATGCCAAGTTACATTTGAATTTCACGTAAGCAATATAGTAACAGACTTCTGAAAATTTATTGTTTCTCTGAAATTTAATTAGCAGCCTATATTTGACCTTGTTGTTGTTGTCGAGTCATTTCCAACCCATAGCGACCCTGAACAGAGTTTCCGAGGCTATAAATGTTTACAGGAACAGAAAACCTCATCTTTCTCCCACGGAGCCGCTGGTAGTTTCTAACTGCTGACCTTGCGGTTCGCAGCCTGGTTCATAACCACTACGCTACCAGAGTTGTTAGGTTGACCTAGCAACCTTAATTAGTATGTGACCCATGAAGCATCTACTACATTCTGTTTGCAGACCCTGTGACAGCTCTGGTAGACAGACATAGGTTCGCCCTGTGATGCCATGAAAAAGATCTTGGGGCCAGTTTATTAGGGGGTCACCCTCACAAGTTTCCATCTAAGGGTCAATTTATGTATCTGTATAAACTATCAATATATTGATATTGATGTTACACTACTTAGTCTTAAATATTTTATGCAAGAGACTTTAAATTATTTTTCCCTTTCTATAGGCTACCCAGTATTAGACTTGAGCTCTTTCCCAACACTGGATACAGGACATATTATAAACATGGAAGCTCCTCGGAGACCCTATACAGGGTCGCTTTGGGTAGGAATTGACCCGAAGGCATTTAACAACAACCACCTCCAGCATACAGACAAAAGTAGTGAAATTAATGAACTGTAATCTCTTAACTTCCTATTTGGTTCTAAGGCCGAGTAAAGGTTTCTAGGATTTCTTAACCTGCCTTTTTAATATTTTCATCTCATAAAATACTGTAACATAGAACAAAAGGATTGCTCCAGCAATTTAGTATTAGCAAACCCTAATAATACCCACTGCCATGCAGTCAAATTTTGACTCGTAGCAACCCTCTGCAACAAGTAGAACTTCCCTCATAGGGTTTTGAGACTGTAATTCTTTAAGGAAAACTGTCTCATCATTATCCTACAATGCAGCTGGTGGGTTTGAACTGCCAACCTTCACTTAACAGCCCACTGTGTCTCTAGGGCTCCTTAAACCACAGTAGGTTGTGGCACTTATTTTTGAGCATCTACCATGACCAGGCATTGTCCTCAGCAGAAGGATTTGTGAGAAATAATGACCATTTCACAATAAGAGGTTAGATCTCCGTCAATTACCAAACTAACTTAAATTTCCCTACTGTGAGAGGGCTTTAAAAAGTTTGGGAAAATTCCATTATCTTTCAATCCCATTTTCCATGATAAAGCCCTAATATACCCTTCAGAGCTCTCTAGTTTTTCATAAAACATTTACAGCACTCAAATTAAGTGTCCAAGGTTTCTGTATTCATTCTACTGAATTACAAATTCTTAAGGCTAGGGACATCTATCACTATGTATACACCCAAAAACCCACCATCACTGAGTCAATTCCAACTCAGAGGTCCTGTCTAGGGTTTCCAAGACTGTAAGTCCTTATGGGAGCAGAAAGCCTCATAGTTCTCCCAAGGAGCAGCTGGTAGGTTTGAACTGTTAACCTTGCAGTTGTGTATCCTACAACATTACCAGAGTCCCTACTGTGTATATGTTGTTGTCAGGTTCCATCAAGTCGGAACCGACTCATAGCGACCCCAGCACAGCAGAACGAAACAATGTCC